CACAAAAAGTATTGCTTTGATTTCGTTTTGTTGTAAGTACTAAACAGGTCAGAGCTGTTTTACTTTTGACTAAAGCCTATGGTGCATTCAGAACAGAACAAGAGAATGTTAGTTTTCACACATAAATTCTAGTTCTGCTTCTGCCAACATAGACTGTGTAATCTAGGGTCTCTCCATCCTCCATCCATCCATCCATCCAATATTTATTGAACTCAACCTTCATTCTGGGCTGGATTTCCCACCTGTAAAATGAGAGAAATAGTCTGGATTAGTAGTTTTGACCTTGCTTCTTAAAATTATTGGCCTTTGAGGGACTTCCAAAGGAGGCGAGGGGGGCGATGGGACAGGGTGTAGGACCCCAGCTAGCTTCACCCCTGAAGTCATGTGCCCAGGTGTTCTATATATTGGGTTTCCGTTTTAGATCTCTTTGAACAAAGGGCTCCCTGACTACTTGCTGCCCAGAAGGTGCTATGAACCTTCCAGTAGTGACACTGTAGCTTTAAGCCAAACTGTTTTTAAATCCATGCCTCTACAGTGTCAGGTAGAAATAAAATGTGAATAAACCGAGGTCACTGCCCCTCAGGGGCTAGATGTCACTGTGAGGATAAACAGATTATAAATGTGAAAGCCTGCTTGGGCAAACCACTGTTGTGAGGATATTAATAATAATTATTATTATAGAGGAGACGGGTAGTCAAGATATACCCACAGGAAAATGCAGACGAGAATTCAGCCTGCAATTTGGGAACAGGTAGGAACCGCAGCCTCCCAGGTTCTCCATGCAGGGATTCTGAGAATTTCCAGGGCTTTCCTGGGAATGCTATGCTCACAGGCACCTTCCCGTGGGGCTGCTGGGCCCGGACCTCCCCTGCGTGCATCACTGGCGCTGCTATCGGGGGTGGGGGTGTATGCAGAGGGTGGGGGGAGCAAGCGAGCGGGTGGCGTGGTGCCTTGCGGTGATTGGATGAGCTGGAGGCTGTTGCTAGGTTACCAGTCCGCTGAGACCTAGACCTGGGGCCCTGCAGCCCCATCCTCCACCGCAGATCCATCCCGCCCAGCAGACCTAATTCGGGCCCTGGGAACGGGATACCCAGCAGCTTAAATTGCCAGACTCCAAATGCCAGACTTTCTAGGATTTTTCACTTAGCAGGAGGCCAGGCCATGTGGAGGCAGGGAAGAGAAGCCCTCGGGTTTTACCTTCTAACTCATCTCGAATAGTTACTTCTCTTTCCGGGCCTCAGGGTCCTTCGATTGCTGACATTTATTTATTCCCTATTCGTGCATACATCTGTGTTTATTAAGTGACTATCTATGTCCCAGGAATGCTGGGGATAAGAGGGTGACGAGACAGAGCCCATTCTTGCCCTTGTAGAGAAGAGAACCATTGCACATTTAAAGAAGATAAACACATACCAGATTATTCCTATCCTTTTTCTTTCCTTTCATTGATTTTTCTAGCCCTCGCTTCCCATAGCAAGCTTGTACACTAGTCCCCCAGGTTGACAGAACAGGAGGTGCAGCCAATGCGGCTGTGCTGCTCTGACGCAGCACCCCCTCTGGGACTGGGACTAGACGGTCCAGAGTCAGAAACATCCAGCAGGCTGGTCCATGGCCATTTGGGGAATCACTGGCCTAATCAATATTGAATACTTACTAAAAACTGTCTGCCTCATCACCCAGTAAAGTGGGGATCCTTATCCCCCATTTTACTGAAAGCAAAATTGAGGTTGAATAAAATTGTTTAACCCAGATAAGCATGTGGCAAAGCTGGGATTGGAACCAAATCTGCCTGAGCTCTTTCCAAGAAATAGATGTGGTCACAGAAAAGCATGAAACTTCCCGAGTGGTTGAAACCCAAGTGCCCTTGCAAATCTCCCTGCCCCGCATCTTCTTTCCTTATTTTTCCATTGAAGTTTCTTGGCACAATAGACTCATAAAACCTGGTGAGTCGGTCACACGGATCTATTTAGTTAATTCTGTTGCTTATCCATCTATCAGGGATGACCTTGCTCCAAGCTTTTATTGGGTGATTAAGTCAAGTATCTCTTCCCTGGGAACATCTCTGTCACCCTTAGGTGTTGTTTTTCCTCTGTTCACACACTGAGCACCCATAAAATGTCCCAGGACACTGGGTGGTACAGAGGGCATGGCCCCTGGGGGATTCCCAGCCTGGAGGGAAGGTTTCTATGGGCAAAGCACAGTGGCAGCCATTGAGAAGAGAGAGAGAATCTCCTCTGAGCAGAAATGGACGTGACTAGTGTGGGCTGGGGCTGTGAGCAGCCAATCTTGAGTTTCCTGACCAGGACATATCAGGCCAGGGATGCTACTTTTGAATGACACCTTGCTGTGGTCACTGTGGGTCCCTGCATCCCACAGCCCGGAAGCCTGCAGCTTGGAAGGAGGCATTTTTAAGTGGGAGAAGGTTCTGGAAAGCACACAGATGCATAGAGAAGTGAGCTAAATTTATCCCTCCTCTCAGAACCCAGCAGTTACTGTGCTGAACACTTGCTTTCTACCAATGGAGAACTGTCTGACCAGAAGGTTTCGTTATTTCTCCCCCAGGAGGGGAAAGAGAGGGGGAAAGGAAGGAGTAGAAGAGAGAGGAGAGAGAGAGAGAGAGAGACCCAGGGGATACAGTCAGAGACTCCAAAGATTGAGACAGAGACTTGGAGAGAAGCACAAAGATGCAGAGAGAAAGGTGTCCTTTGGTTCGTGGCTCAAGTAAACAGCAAGAAAGAATTTGAAGCCGAGCCCCAGACTGGGAGAATCAGACATCTTGCCTCTCCGTCCCCCCTTGGCCACCTGACTCGGGCTGTGGCATTGCTAATTTCCAGGTTGGACCATTTTCAGACATAAGTTCTTTGGGAACGTCAATGCTGTTTCCATTGTCTTGGCTGCTCCCTGTCACCTGCCCCCACCCCTGAATAGCTGAGAGTTGACAGGAAATGAATAATATACTAAGCCACAATTGAATAAGCCTTGCAAGGTATTAAAAATGCATACCTTTGACCCAGCATTCTAGGAATTCATCCTCAGGAAAACAATTAAGGACTTGGGCAAAGAATTTAGGTTGAGATTGTTCATCACGGCATTATTTAGAAAGGTCAAAAAGCCAAGAAAAAAGGAAACAAACTAATTAGCCAAACCCCCTGTAGGGGACCTGCTCAATAAATACTGGTATAATCTTATAAAGCTTTCCACACTGTTTTTAAAATTACATTATAAGTAGATATTTATTGACTGGGAAAAAACACAATATATTGGTTGGAAAAAGCAAATCATAAATAGTGGACATAGCATGGCTTCCTATAAGTTAGAATAAAAATAAAATAGAGAGTCTAAGAAGAGAGGCCAAGTGGTAATCTCTGAGTGGAGGAATTCTAAGACATTTTGGTGTTTTTTTGTTTTGTTTTGTTTTGCTTATCTACATTTTCTAAAATTATTTTTTCCACCATGAGCAGGTCTGATCTGTGTGTCAAGAACGAATATCATTTCAACCATCCCAGCGGTGCCTCTGCCAGAAGCCAGGCACGGCTGAATCAGGGTTCCTGGCCCCAGGCACTGGGAAAGGTCATTGACCTTTGCAAGGTGGTAGACGCTCATTAAGAATCCCAAAAACAGTGTCCCCATCCTGGTTTGACTCCCTATCCCAACCGGTCTTGCAGGAGAGATCTCAGTGACCCAACAGCTTGGTGTCCAGACCTGCTTCATAACCTGCCCCTGAGTCAGCGACACCCGCCCTGGGGGGAACACTGAGCCGCTGAGCCAGCTGGCACTGCAGGGCTCCCCACCTCCCGGGAGCGCTGTCCCTGGTGATGGCTGTGATGCGGGTGGCTTGCTCAGGTCCGTCCCTACTACACAGATGCAGGTGCGATGCTGAACGCTGGCAAGAGAAGGGCGTCACCATGGCAACCCAGGCTCCCCCCCAGCCTCTCCATCCCTGGGATCAGTCCAGAACCCAGGGGGTTTGCAAAGACTGGGTTTTGGAGTCAGAAAAACTACTGCCTGGTGTCTGGCCTCCCGCAAGACACTTAGCTTTTCTCTGCTTCTGTTTCCACATCTATAAAACGGTCTTGCAGCGTCTGACCTTGCCCACCCCCAGGACTGGCGCGGAATAAGCTGTGAATTGGAAATCATGAGAGGAGAAGCATCCCTGTTCGGTTTGTTCCCACGGCTGGGTCTGACCTAGGGCAACTCACTTAACCCCTCTGGCTCAGCTGCTCTATGGAGGAACAGGAGACTAAGACACACTGTGGGGACTTCCTGGAGACATGTTGCAAGGTGCCTTGAGAATCTCAAAGTTGGAAGGACTCCTCGCCCTCTGCCCATGCAGGAAGCCTTTCAATAAGCTCTCTGACAGAGGTGCTTATCCAACCTCTGCTTGGTTACCTCTTGTGACAGAGAGCTCACAACCGCACAGCTCCCCAAGTAGCTATTACATGACATTAACTTTAAGAAAGGTCTTCCGTGGAGGCCGTCTTACCATCAAATATTTGTTGAAGGTCTGGCACTTTGGCTTATTGCACATATTGATCATGCACAGGGCCCTTTGAGGCCCCGGGTTCAATCCCCAGCACCACCACCCTTGTCATCCCCCCCCAAAAAAAAAAAAAAAAAAACTTGTTTAAAAAATTTAGCAATCCTTTTCAGAGCTATTTCCACCCTGATTCTAAGTTGAGAGAGTGTGAGAGAACGCAGCCTCTGATTGGAAGGTTTCTGGCATCCTCTACTGCCATGATCTCCCCACCTCCTGCTTCTACCAAGCCAACCATAGCCGATCCCCGTCAGAGAGCTGGAAGTGTGGGTCCGGCTCTGTCACAGCCTAGCCTTGGGCTCTCTGGGTCCAGGGGCTTTGCTCACACGCACAGTGGCCCATTCCTGAGCGCTCTGGCCTTCTCTGTTCTAGGCTCTCACATTATCAGAGGTCACTCAAGACCTCTCCTGGCCGCTGGCCACAGGCCCTGGGTGAAGCCGCCCCCTCTCCTCTGCTTCCTCCACAGAAGTATACCTCAGGTTCCTGAACAAGGGTCTGGCCGAGGTGAAGAGGTTCTTCCTGGGGCCTTTGTCCCCATCCTGCAAGATGGTGCAGATGATGCGGCAGTTCCTGTACCAGGTCCTGCCCGAGGACTCCTACAAGTTCGCCTCCGGGAAGCTCCACGTGGGCCTCACCCGCTTCACGGACGGAGAGAGCGTGGTGGTCTCCGAGTACACGTCCAAGGAGGAGCTCATCGAGGCAAGGCCCGGGACTTAGGACGCCACGTCGGGTGGAGGAGGCCGCCCGGCTCTGCACAGCCCGGGTGGCCCCCGACTTCCTTCCTTCCTTCTCCTCCCACCTCCCCGGTCCTCCCTGTCCTTCCCGTCTGGCATCTCCTCTGCCAGGAGCCTCGTTAGACGGACACAGAGAGACCTAAGGCCAGCCAGGCGGCCCTGTGCTTGACTCCCACGTCCCAGGGGGCTCCGCCATCCTCGCCGCTGCGCGCCCAGCCGTCTGGGCTAATCCTGAGCTCCTTCAGGACACCCGGCCTGGTGGCTGCTCCTCCTGAATTACCCCCAGTTTGTGGAAACGGTCAGGCAGAGCTTCCCTCCGCGTCCCCCTGCACTATCCCGTGGCAGGAGGTCATCACTGCCGGGTTCTCACTTGCAAAGTGCACACGCACCCCGACAGCCACCGCGCTGAGCTCACCAATTCAGATTTTAGTTATGAATCACTATTGCTGGGCTGTGCAGCGAATATGCCCAATTTTCTTTCAGGACAAAGGGGCGATGCCTCAGGGCCTTCCTTCTCCCAATCGGGGCCTTGCTACCGCACCCTCACTTCCCCTTCCTGGCCCGATCCTGGGGCGAACAGGCAGTGGACAGCTGGTGTCCCCCTGGGTTATCACCCTATTCTTCTAGTCCTGCCCTCTCAGGCCCGATTCCCACTTCATCTCCTACTGCCATGATCTTCTCTCCCTGTCCCCACCTCCTGCTCCTACCAAGACAACCATAGCAGACCACACCCAAACCAGGCCCCAGGGCCTTTGCACCTGCTTGCCCTTTGTCTGGGCTTCCTTCCTGCCTGCCTGCCCTGCTTCCCCATACAAGGGCACTTTCCTTCATCGCCTCCTGCCCTGCCCTGCTCTGCAACCTTCTTTGGGGCCAAAAAGCTATGCTCACCTCCCTGTGAAAATGCTCACAGACAGTGTCCTCCCTACTCCTCCCTGTCTGTGAGCATTTCCACCCCTCTGAGTTCAGGGCCTGGCCCAGGGCAGATGTAGATTAATGGTAACTGAATTCCACTGGATTCATGGAAGGTTGGCATCTGCTGGGATCCTGGTGATATTGAGGCCACTCTCTCCCTTTCAAGCTGGGTCATCAGGCCCCAATTGACCAAGGAGGTCACCAAGGACCCAGCTAGTTAGGGCCAAGCCAGGAATCGAACTTGGGGTTCTGCTTCCCAGGCTGGCACCTGCGCCCCAGGCTTAAGGAAGTGGGGCTGGGGGTGGCTAATTGACCAGTGGCCTCCAGGTGGGCCCCCCATTTCCAGGGCCTGTGGCACCTCAGCCCTGCTCTCCCCCCAGGCCCTGTACTGCAGCTGCTTCGTCCCCGTGTACTGCGGCTTCATCCCCCCGACCTACCGCGGCGTGGTGAGTGCTCCTAGTGCTGAGAGGGACGAGCGGGACCCAGGGTACCTTGGGGTCCGGGTGACCCACATCTGGGAAGGCAGAGGGGTGGTCTCCAGGCCCAGCAGGAGGCCTCGAGTTGCAAAATGTCCCCCCTCTGAATTCCCCTGTGGGTGGTTTTGGGGTTTTAAGATGAGCCTCCCCGACGGGCGCGGCTGCTGTCTGGCTCACCAGCCGTCCAGAGCGGCAAACCAAGGCTCGACCTTGGGATTTTCCCAGACTCGACAGACGGATCCTGGGACTCTGGGACCTGGGAACTTGAGCGATGGGGATCTTTGGAGCTTTGTGAGCCGGTGCCCAGAGAGCCTTCCACGACCCTCTGAAATCCCTCGGAGGAGGATCTCATAAAACCAGCCAGACTCTGATCCATGGTGTTTGGGGAGGGCCGAGAGTCTGTGCCTCTAACCTGCCCCCGGGGACCTGGCGCTGCTGGGTCACGGGCCACACTCTGAGCACTGAGGGCCCAACCCACGCCCTCCTCTGTCTAGAGAGAGGGAGGTTCAGGGAAGGCCCTAGGTGGCAGACAGCTCCTTCTCAGGCCCCCCCGTGTCCAAGCCTCTGTCCTTGTCCTGCTTTGTTCAGTTCATGGAAACAGAAGGCCCCAGAGAGAGGCGCATGAGGCTGGGCACCGCCAGGCTGTGCCGGGAGGCAGGGTCTCTAGCTTCCCACTCTCAGGCCTGGGAGCCCGCTCTCAGCACCATTCAGATGACTGAGCAGAGGGTGAGCAGGGTCCGAGCACTGGGCTAGGAGTCCAAGGCCACCGTGTAGCCACAAGTGACCTTGGGCACATCACTGGCCCCAGGCATCTTGGTTTCAAGGCTTGTCCCTAAGGCTCTTCTGGCCCTGCTGTCCCATGGTCCCAATCCCTTGGCGCCCTCCTGGTGGAGGATGAGACTCGACGCCTCAGACAGCGTGTCTCACTCCCCCAGAGGTACATCGACGGCGGCTTCACGGGCATGCAGCCCTGCTCCTTCTGGACTGACTCCATCACCATCTCCACCTTCAGCGGGCAGCAGGACATCTGTCCCCGGGACTGCCCGGCCATCTTCCACGACTTCCGCATGTTCAACTGCTCCTTCCAGTTCTCCCTGGAGAACATCACCCGCATGACCCACGCCCTCTTCCCCCCGGACCTGGTGGTGAGGGGCAGGAGGGGTCTGGGGCGAGAACGCGGGACCGGGGTGGGACGGCTGCGGGGTGGGCCACTCAGGGTCCACCTCCTCCCCTGGAAGAGCCACCCACTTCCTCCAAGAGCCTGCATCCTGGCCAGGGGCTGGCCACGGGCGGCCCCAGCCCCGAGCTCTTCCAAACCCAGCGTCCTCCCCTGCAGAGCAGCGTGATGTTAGCAGCACTGATGGGGGGACCTGATGGGGGGGACCTGATGGGGGGACCACCTGTGCTCTGACATCAGGGTGCCACAGCCGGGCTCAGCAAGCCGGAGCCCAGGTGGCCCAAACCAGCCTGTCCCTTGATTCTGTGCAGCCCGGGGCTGTGGGTGATTTTCCATTTTTAAAGTTCTGTTTAGAAAAGAATAATAATAACAGAAGGAGAGCATGTGGCAGAGACCATGCAGCCAGCAAAGCCCCAGAAACTGACTAGAAAAACCCTGATGGGCAAAGCCTCAGGAAATCAACCCTCCAGCATCCTCTGCATAGATGCTATGACTGTCGCCATGTTACAGACAAAGAAACTGAGGCTCTGAGGGGCTTCCTGTCACACAGCCAATAAAAGGCTGCACTGGAGCTTGAACCCAAACTCCAAATTCTGCTCTTCACGTGGCCTGAAGACATCTTCTCTGTATCTCCCAGAAACTTTTCACCCTTTCTTTAAAAAATTTTTTAAAATTTGTTCTTTTTAGTTACACATGACTGTAGAATGTGTTTGACATATCAGACATACATGGAGTATAACTTCCCATTCCTGTGGTTGTACATGGTGTGGGTTACACTGGTTGTGTATTCATGTATGACCAGAGGAAAGTTCTGTCTGATTCATTCTACTGTCTTTCCTATTTCCATCCCCCAACCTTCCCTTTATTCCCCTTTATCTAATCCAAATTACTTCTATTCTCTCATTTAGCCTCAGACTTATTTCATAGTCTTTAGATTCATCTATTTACTGGCAAATGCCATGATTTCATTCTTCTTTATGGCTGAGTAATATTCCATTGTGTATTTACACCATATTTTCTTAATCCACTCATCTGTTGAAGGGCACCTAGGCTGGTTCCGTAGCTTGGCTATTATTCTCACCCTTTCTTGCCAGGGGAGGCTGGTGATGTGCTGTGAGGGGAGGGACACCCTAACACGGCACCCCTAGGGACCAGGATCAGGAATTGCTCCTCGGTTCCTTGTAGATGGTGAGGGATGGGACACTGGATGAGTACATTCTGAAGAGCCCACAAGTAAAGCTCAGAAGCAATGCAAGTGGCTGCTCTTGGTGGGGAGGGGACCATGGCTCTGTCCATCACTGCAGCCTTGGTTATTTTCTGGTGCCCACCCCCAGATCCTGCAGGATTACTACTACCGAGGCTACGAGGACACAGTGATGTATTTGAGGAGGCTGAGTAAGTACCTGTGGGGCCCCAGGGGAGGGAGGTGGAGGACTGGAGAGGAAGGGCTGAGTTGAGGGACAGTGCCCCACCTTTGTGGCCTGGAGAGATGGAAATGGGGGCAAGGCTTGACAAAGGTCACTGTGGCCACAAATAAGGATCAGACCCCCGTGGAAAGGGGGCTGTGGGGCTGACTCATGGGACGGGGCCTGAGGCATCTCCAGGGCCTCTATGAGTCCAAGAACCATGTCTAGGAGCTGCACAGCCCAATCTCCCTGGAGAAGTTTCTTTTCATTCTATTCCTTCTCTTCCACTTTATTCTTTCCAATAAGGTCATGTTGTTATTGAGAACTAGAGGGGACTAGAGATATTCACGGAAGACGGAGCACAATCCAGAGAGGAGAGGCCTTGCCCTGTGCTGGTCCGGAAGGGTGGTCCCTGCACCCGGGTCCCTCTGTGCATCCTCAGGGTGGTGGGATGATTCCAAGGACCTGTGTGAAATGCTCTCGCCCCAAGAAGGCCACGACAAATGTCTTTGTTACAAGAAATGAAAAGAGCCAGGAGACTCAGGAGGCCAAGGCAGGAGGCTCCAGCCTTGACAACTTAGACCTTGTTTCAAAATAGAAAATAAGAAGGAGTGAGGATGTAGCTCAGAGGCAGAGCACCTGCCTAGCACACACAGGCCCTGGGTTCTTTTTCCAGGACTGCAAAACCCAAAAACCTTCAGGGGTGAGATTAAGGGTTGAATGAAATTATCTTCCTAGGATTTGTTCACTTTTTTTTCCCCCTTCTTCAAAGTAGTTCCTACATTTTCCAGCAACTCTTGCCCTATGTCTTTACTTTCTCCTGGATCCTTTCTCCTAACAAGGAGGTCCAGGAGGTTGGAAAGAACTGGACAGAACATGGGCTCAGGAGGCAAGTAGCCCTGGGTCCCTCCTATCCCTGCTCCCATGTCAAGCTGTGTGATCTTGGGAAAATCACTTTCCCTCTCTGAGCCTTTGCTTCCTAATCTTTTTTTTTTTTTTTTAAAGAGCTTAGGGACTGAGGTTTTGGCTCAGTGGTAGAGTGCTTGCCTAGCATGTGTGAGGTACTGGGTTTGATCCTCAGCACCACCTAAAAATAAATAAATAAAATAAAATAAAGGTGTTGTGTCCATCTACAACTAAAAATATTTTTTTAACAAAAGGTAGAGTTTAGATCCTAGTGCCCAACACCTACTTGACTGTAGGATCTTGAGAAGGTAACTAATCTTCTGGGGCCTCAGTTTTCTCATCTGTAAAAGGAGGCTAATCTTGGAGCTTAGCTCAGAGACTGACTGAAGGATTAAAGGATTGGAGCACACAAGGCCTGAGCCCAGTGCTCAGATCGGTGGTGGCACTTACTGAGGACATCAGAGCAGCAGCCAATTAATCCCACTGCCCCCTCTGGCCTTGGTGAAAGGCCTGCTTCTTACCCTCTGCAGGACAGATGCCACCTCATGTGGACTCCCTCTGACAGCCCTCTCTTCCTCACACTTACTGTGGTGACAGCTGGGACGATTGGAGCCCAAGGGTCTGAACATAGATGACCCCAGGAGTATGGGTAGGGAAGGGAAGGAGGCTCAGTGACAGAGCTCGGCAACAGGAGGGGTGGCCAGGCCCCCCCCAGGATCCCCACCCTTTCTGAAGGGGTGGTCGGTGTGGAGGACTTGGAGTTTGAAGACCCCCTCATTTGGGGCTTAGATCCTGGAGCAGATTCCAGTCCCCGGCCCTGGGAGCCCCCTCGACACCTGCCCACGGTGGCATCTCTCCCCTGGAATGTATTTTCTTTTTCTCTCAGGACGAGTCCTAGGGACAGTCACAAAGTGGCTCTGCAGCATCATTAGCCACCCCCTTGTCGGTGGCCCTTCTTGCACCCTCTGGAGGGACCTCACGCCCTCCACCCTCCTCACCCTCTGCCCACGGCTGGTGCGGACATTTGCACAGGTTTGACTGACAGCTTTAAACCCCACGGATGAAACCAAGTGGTGGGATTCCAGGCGTCCCCGGAACGCTCGAGGCAGCGCAGTGGAGGGTGGCAGCGTCTCCAGTGGCCCTGGGATCACACCAAGTAGGAGCAGATTCAGCTGGAGGCAGGAAAACTTCTCACACCGGCTCCGGCTGAGTACAGGGCTCCCTCTTCCAGTGTGCGCATGCGCGCCTGCTCTAGGGCAGTCGGCCCCCAGCTCCAGCTCCAGCTTCTTGGGCCGGGGCGGGACTGGGCTTTCCTCCTGGCCCTGGATGTGACCGGAGCCACGGACACGTCCGGAGACACTTCGGTTGGTGCCACCTGCCATCTGGGGAGCAGCCTGGCTGCTTTCTGGATAGGGGTCACCTCTGGCAGGAAGCCACATCCCGAAAGGTGTCCCGGCCAACTCCCCATGTCACTTCCTCGCGTCCTCCTTCTCCTCCCTCCCAAGGGCTCACATCCTCCTCCCCATTCCTGCTGCCAGGCTCCCACCCTCGGCCTCCCCTGTAGCCGCCCCCCCCCCCGCGCTGGCGCGCTCGAAAAGCCACACTGTCACGCAGCCGTGGGGACAGGGCGCGG